ATTAAAATTCTCATTTTTATTTGTCCCATTGATTTTTAATATTTCTTGATAAAATTTGAAGAAGGCGGAAGCAGGACATACTCTCTACTGAAATTTAATTTAACAATCCCTACTTAATTTGGGTTGGATGCCAAATTTAATACACCGCGTGAAGTGGATAAGCACATTTTATCTCCTTATGTGGAATTATACCTTGGAAGGCTTCACAATGAAGCGTGGATTGTTTAGAATCTGTTGTACCAAAAAGACCCAATTTAGGAAGAGTTGGCCATCCAAATGTAACTAATGGTACTGTCTACTTCTATAGTTCTTTGCCAGGTTCCATTATAAGTTCCATCCACTCTCTCCGAGAAACCAACCAAATCCACCAGAAATGGCTCCCTTAAGGAACAACTTATTGGGTCTAGTCCTGATCCTGGCAGCCACGTTTTGCTATGAAGCCACTGCTCAGTCAGGTTGCACCAAAGAGGTCATAAGCTTATCGCCATGTTTAAACTACATTACAGGAAACTCCACAACCCCATCTTCCTCCTGCTGCTCTCAGCTTGCCAATGTTGTTCAGTCACAGCCACAGTGCCTTTGCACTGTGGTCAATGGCGGTGCCGCCTCATCACTAGGTATTTCCATCAATCAGACTCTTGCTCTGTCACTCCCCGGCGCTTGTAATGTGCAAACACCACCAGTTAGCCAGTGCAATGGTGCAGCTAGTCCTCCAGCTGCATTGCCAACAGTCCCTTCAGGTACATTTATCAATATGAAATTAAGTAAATTTATTAGATCGGACGACTAATTTTGAATAAATAATATCAATTCTCATCGGTCTTACAATAATTTACAACTAAAAATATGCAGGTACCACGTCAAAAACAGTGCCTACAACAGCCGGTAGCACATCTGATGGAAGCTTCATGAAGATACCACTTGGCCTTGCCCTGTTCATTTCTTCAAGCATGCTATATTTTAATATAGGAAAATGATTAGTACATTTTTAATTTAACATATCTTTTGATATTTATTCAATTTAATTATTAAAAATATTTATTTAATTAAATAATTAAAAATATAATATAAATAGAACTGATTCAATCAAATTTAAATTCTATATACATAGTTGAATTAAGTATTGTGTAATATATTAAAATAAAGTGTATACCAATTAATATTCTTTATCATAATTTAAGCTTTCTATAGAAGTTTGAAGCTTTTCATGAGTTGTATTACATATTTATGAGTTATTAATTTGAAACCTAAGAGTGAATTGTTGATTTAATACTCCTAAATTTAAGCTCTTCTACGATGTTTAAAAATCACTTTGAAATAATTTATAGATAACGTGAGTATTTGAACCTTCAGCCTCAACTAATTTTAAGTAATTGTAAATCGATCTATTTATAACCAGTCTAACCTTAATATCCGAATCTTCCAATCATATTAATTTTACAAAAGGTTACTTTAACATGTGTCTTAAGAGAATAAATTTTAAAAAACTTTATTAACATTAATTATTATTAAAAAATAAAATTTAATATTTATTTAATCAATCATTTAATTAAATAATATATATAGCATTAACAATAAAATTAATGTCAATTTAATTATTTTTATACTAAATAATATCAAAAATATATATTAATTATACTTTTAACTTATGCCATTATAGATAGGACAGTGCTATATGAACAACTTTTTTATATAATTCTCATATGTCATTAATTGAGTTGATTCATTCAATATCATGAGTTCAATATGAATTAAAAAAATTAATAATTTAAATAACATATCAAATTATATAAAAAAATAATATAAAAAATTTATATCAAAATCATTTCCTTTATATATATCCTTTTACAAATAATTGTAAATCGTTAGTATCACTAGATATTGAATAAGAATACCACTAAAAATTGACGACTATAGTCTATTAGAATTGTTTAAACAAAAATGCGATGAACAGATTCAAACCTGCTTTTCAAACATAATTCACATCAATACGAGCCATTACTGGGTTTAAAAAACCCCAATTTTCATTTGCTTTCCTGAATTCGTATCCCTTAAGGAAGTCACAGATGTGACAGATGTGGTGATGGTTGTGCCTAACATCAGGCACGTGTATCGTTATAACTTCACATTAAATGAAGGTTGGCAGCAGTTGTAATAAATTCACGCGTTTTAGCTACCTTTTACATCATCAAAAACATCAGAAAAAAAAAAATCAATTCATGAAGCCATCAAATTATTATTTTCTTAATTAGGCAAAAATGAAAAGTAGTCGAGCCACCTTTCGTATTAAATAATGTCTGACTTTAATCTTAAACCGATTTTATTAAAATATAAATATTAACTACAAAAGTTGTTAAGTGTTAACCAAAAAAATTTTGTTAATTAATAGGAAAGCTGGTGAACAATTTCCATTTTCTCTCTCTATAAAACTCCCTCATTTGCCCTTCTCTCCCAACCCACAAACAATTAACCAAAAACTTTCCTGTCTCCAATAACAATTCCAGTGACGGTAGTTATGAGGATGGATAGAATTGTGCTGCTTACAGTTGTTACTGCGGCTGCTTTTTGGGGAGGAGCTGTAGCACAATCCAGTTCCGATTGCAGCAGTGCTCTTTTTAATCTTTCTCCATGCCTGAACTACACCACCGGAAATTCATCAACCCCTTCTAAGCCTTGCTGCACGAATCTGGCTAGCGTCGTGGGGTCACAGCCGCTGTGCCTGTGCCAGGTTCTTAACGGCAACGCTGCCTCATCTCTGGGAGTCAGTATTAACCAGACTCTGGCCTTGGGGCTCCCAACAGCCTGCAATATCCAGACTCCCTCCGCCAGCAACTGCAACGGTAAGAAAATAAACAAATTGTTTCTCTGGATCCGTTAATGTTAAATAGGAAAATTTTACATCAAAATACGTTAAAAAAAATGTGTTGATAAAAATTGTGAAATAATTTTTTTATATAATTTTTTGATATTGCTTTACATATTATTTAATTATTAACTTATTTTATTCTATTTATATTATAAATATTTTATACATCCACCTATTTACTAAGAATTTGGAAGTTAAAAGTCCTGCGTTTCTGTTTAAATGTCAAAGTCTTACTGTTAAAAAGAGCAATTCAATTTCATTGAACGAAGTTGTGATTGATTTTTAAATCTGCAGCTCCAACTGGGTCTCCCTCAGGATCTAATCCAGTGTCATCATCAACAAACAAATTAGATGGAAACAACATCAAGATGACATTTTCTGTGCTCTTCTTCTTCATCTTTGTTGCGTTGCGTGACTCCAGCCTTATTGCCATCTGAGGAGCTCTATATCTCGTTTCCATGAGTCATGGACCTTCTGCTACCATTATAGAAGAATACAGAACCACTACAATCTTGAGTATTCTTTTCCCTTGTTTCTCTCTTACAGTTTCCCTAGACGTTAATTTATTGGGGGATCAATTTTTCTGGGTTTGTACTAGTTTTTTCTCCACGGTTGTAATAAAAACGATCACTGGTTCCTGGTCAAATTCTCAAATAATAGCTTAGTCGTTCCAATTGATAAGGGTCAGGCATCAGTCGAACTTGGACATCCAACTAAACTCAGGTTGGCTGGGACCACTTAACTACCTGTATGCCTAAATCTCCAACTCGAATTTTTTCATCTTTCATTGAAAGAAATTATTGTAAAACTACTCAAAACTTATTTGGTCTGAAGTGAGGATGTGATGGAGATGATTTTCCTTATTTGTTGAGAAAATTTTTCTTTATTTTGCTTATATATATATATATATATATATATCTTAATATATTTAAACAAGAGAAAGAGATTGGAGGGAAATAGAGGGATATCTTTCTTTTATTTGTATAACATGAATTTTCTTTTTCTCTGATGGAATGTATAACAAGAAAATTGAAGGGAAGGGAAGGGAAGGGAAGGGGCGAGAGTAGGGACTGTGATTTTCCCTGAGTTTTGCAAGGATCCCGGCCACTAGAATGAGGTTGGAAGGAATATTCTTTTTATGGGGTGGGATATGAATCATTTTCTCAGTAAAAGCTTCTTATTAACTTTTTATTTTATTAAATTTATAAATTTTATTCTCTAATTTTATACTATAATATTTTTAATCTTTTATTTATTAAAATAAAAAAAATAACTTTTATTTATAATATTTTGTTAATTTTATTAATTAACTGTTAATTTTATTAGTTGACTATTAGTTGATTGTTAGTCACAAAACTTACTTTTAGTTAATAAAGTTAACAATCAATTAATAAAATTATTTTATTAACTGATTGTTAACTCTATTAATTAACTGGTAATTGATTATTAATTAACTTTTAGATAGTAAAAATTTATTTTCAGCTAACAGAGTTAACAGGTCAATTAACAGAATTAACAAAATATTATAAAATGAGAATTATTATCTTTAATTTTAATAAATAAAGTGTTAAAAGTGTTATAATAAAAAATTAAAACTTATACACCTAATAACATAAAAAGCTAAAAATCTGCCGATTTCTCTCTCAGGAAATTTCACATGAAAGCTTTCCTGCTGTGTAAATCTTATGGGATTCTCATTTCTCGTGAATATTAAAAAAATGAAAATAATTATTAAATCTTAACTAAGGTTAAATATTTAATTTATAATCATAAGATATACTCATTATTCCTTCATAATTTTAAATCAACACTAAAATCTAATTAATATAAACCAAAACCCAACCCAACATTTTTGTTTCCTTACCCAACTCTATAATACATTTTGTTTTAAAATAATAAACTAAAAATAGCTAAACTAATTTTATAATAAATATTGGCGGGGGACCAGGAATCCCCACAAGCAATGGCAATAGAAGATAAATTCTACCCCCATAAAAATCCTCAAAGGGATTCTAGTCCCTACGATTCATTATGACTAGGATGAAGACGCACCCTCTATCCTCCCTCCCCCCACCATTGGGCCGTATTCTTGGTGGAGAGGAGATATTTTAACCTTTTCTTTAGGTTAAATATCATTTTTTGTCTCTCTACGATTGAAAAAAATTCTTTTTAAATTTCTATACCGAAAAAATCTCTTTTTTAGCTCTTACATTTTAAAATTCAATCACTTTTTAGTGTCTTTATTAATTTTTGCTCACATGGCAAGTTATCTTAATGGCAACTACTGATGTATTCCACCATATAAAAATGCTTATATTGACTTAATATACCCCTTCATGTCACTCTCTTCATGTGAAAAAAAAAACTTAAGTGATGAGACCCACATTCTGCAATTCTTCTTTTTTTGTTTTCTAGTTTTTTTCAGATTCTTCTCTCACTACTGGAAAAAGCAGTATATTCGACAGAGGATTCTGTCGAATATGAATGATTTTCTGTTGATTAAAATATAATCGACAGACATATTCGACAACTTTTTTTGTCGAATATACTGCAGTCGATAATCAGTATATTCGACAGCAAATTTCTCTGTCGATTAAACAAGTGTAATCGACAGAATTTTACTGTCGAATATATTGATTATCGACA